ATATATATTTTAAGCAATGGATTTTTTAATCCAGCATTATTTCTTAATAAATGTTATATTTAGTGGGTACACGTCTTGGCTCAGTCCGATAGATGTTATTTTCAATGTTATAAAAAGGGGTTATCTATTCAAACATTTGTATCCACAAAGTATAGCGTTTAGAGTAATACGAAATAACGCCGGATTAAGAAATCAATTAAATGCTTAATAATCACTGTTTACGTCTTGGGCATGAAAATAAAATTAGCAGATATAGACTTCGAAATATCCCAATGAGAGATATGCATTTCTTAAATAGGGTAACTGAGACTTGCTTCGTCATTATGGCTTCTCGCAGCGTAATCGGTTAAGGTACACTTGCCTAAAATGTGATTTCCTTGATAGAAAAAGTGAATACAGGTTCGATTCCTGTCAGGAGATGCATTTTCTTTAATAAGACTTTTCGATCTCTAAACCGGTTAGCATTAATACCGCCACTTAAAATGAGATCAAATCAAAGGCGTGTACACACTAAATATAACGTTTATAGTCATGTATACGTGCGCGTTGGGAACGTCGAGGCGGTGTAATCGTTAGCAAACTTGTCTTGTTAGAATAATTACGACTGAGTAGTGAGTTCGATCCTCACTGAGTGTTCACTACTTTCGGCCTTGTGTCACATCTAAGCTACGCTTGGGAAATCCTTATATACGTGTGTGTGTATACTTGAAGAGTTCGGCAGCTTAATCCGTGTGCTAATCAGTTAAGTTGTCCGCGTCTCGCCGGGCGTTTCACACAACTCTCAAAATCACTCCATACCTCACTTTCACTAAGTAAGAGACACGCCCCACAGGGGTGCGGGTGCAATTTGATTATTTTTCTAGTGTGTCTCTGTGTGTTTGAGTGTGTGTGCGACTTAATACGTACGGTGCATATACAGTATGCATACATATAAATATTTGTGCGTATGTAAGTACATGTGTAACGACGTATATGGGCGCGTGGTTAGAACGTTCGCTTTCTGACCATGCGACACGGTTGATTTGTTATCGGTGGGAGGATCTTTGGAAAGTCAATACCACGGTTTGACCCAAGCCCTGTGAGTGAAATTGGGTAAACAGAATACTTGGGGGACCGTCGATACCTGTGCAAGCACGAAAGCACCAGTCATCGTGACAGAGGGTTTGAATGTGCCGACCTTGTTCAGATTGTTGATAACACGCTCTCTCGCAGAAACTGTATCTAAGGTCTGCTCAGCATAGTTGCAGTATAAAACCACAGGTGGGCTCTGTGGGTGTTGAACAAATACAAACGTGCTTGAGCGAGTGTCTGAATTAGGGATTGGCTAACCCTAGTAGACGGGTATTCTACAATACGAATGGCCAGCTATTAATTACGTATGTACTGTATATAATATATATATATTTTTTACTAGTAACACAATATGTTTATAAATATTCTAAAATTCTAAAATTAGATATTAATACTATTGCATATATGCAGTCTCAATTTCTTAAGGAAAGTTAAGTTAATGTCCTTTTAGGCTTCCTCCACGTGAATAGGAATTCACTTTTTGAATAATAAGCATTATATGTCACGGGGCGGAAGGCATCGGGAATTTAGAGATGGGACATTGGCCCAAAAAAAGGGGGGTTAGGAAGACTGCTCAAAACCCCTTTTATGAGTTATAAATATTTTAACCGTTTCATTCGGATTGTAAGTATAAGTTTTCTTGTTGCTCACATCCTGTTTGCGATATTCATAATATTTATCGATAGAATACCACCCCCTTAGTATCCAAAAGTATAAGCCGGTACAAAAAGTCTTGTTTACTCCACTAGCGAAAGCCGAAGTCGCTTTTCACAGACTGTATTCATAAATCTTTAGTAATGGTAATGATAATATTAGCCGTTTCCTTATAAAGAAACATTAGCCATTCATTGACAAAGCAGCCAGTGACATTGTCATTTGAAATTTATAAACTATTTCTCTTAAAACATTTTTTTATTTTTATTTTTATTTTTTTGGAAAATAAATTTTTCAAGTCCAGTAGCTGTTATTGCTCTTTCTAGTATTGACGCGTGCTTCCTTTCTTGTCTTTTATTTGGAGATGTGTGGAATGTTAGCACCTTAACTATGTCTTTGTTTCCTCATCGAGTTACATGTGCTATCCATTTTAGTTGTTGCTCCTGCTGAAAGTTCACAGTAACATGGTTTCTATTATCTGACACTGTTTATGATTCTGTAGCGCCAATCCACGAGAATCGAGGAAATACTGTCTACACTGAAGTTACGCACTTCAATCGCTCGAAGCTATTTTAAGCCATCGATCTGAGAAAGCTGATGGTACATAGCCGACTGTTTAGATATTTCTGAACTAATTTAAGTTTAGCGCTATGCTTGGCATCCATATGAAAGTATCTGATTAGACTATTTAAGAAGATGACTCGAAGGTTCCCATAGAGTTCTTCATTGGGCATATGTTCCCAATACAAACTCGTAAATTCACATATACACACACATATGTGTATATGTACCTCTCCCATCATTGTGTATGTGCTTCATACATTTTTCCTTAAAGTACTCGAACTGTAAAGAAAAATATCAAAAAATGTGTTTGTTTTAAGTGCAATCTAATGTTGTTCTTTGTATTCTCCGGTCTTAAATGACATGAAAAACCGCTTTCGTAATTAAATCTAAACATAAAAGTATTCTAAACAGAAAAGCTTACGGCCGCCGTTAAGAAAAGAACTCTGACGTTTAAAGTAATCTCATTTTACTGTTTTTAATTGACATTAATGTGAAGTTATACAATCGACACTGTGACCAGAATTAATCTTTTTTTTAATTTTTTTTTCATATTACTATAATTAATTACGAATATTAATTTTAAAAATTAAATTTTATAAAAGTTAACGGGGATGGTGCAGTTTAATATATAAATACATTGTAAATTGATTCTCCTGCAGAAGGCGTTAGTTAGATCCAGTGACAGGACCCAAAGAGTGTGAGTTATTGAACTTAACCTGGTTAAGGCGGTGGAGAACTTGGAGAGGGGAATTAACAGGAGATAACTGATAACTGACATCCATTAGACATGGCACGTGGAAATAGAACAGTGTTATGGTCCAGGTTAGGACCAAGGAAGAACAACACGAACACAAGAGTAGAAATAACGAAGGTATATTACACGAAATAATAATACAAGATGTGGAAGGTGTTAGTATGACTGTCAGCCTGGTTTGGAGTGAACTACTATCGGCTCGACTCGATTCGGTATCTAGCCACCCACCCCACGAGGGTTGCATGTGGCACAAGGCCGAGTTTAACGTGGGTTTCCCGAGCCCGTAGGCTCGGCCAAAAAATGCCCGTAGAACCCGTATAAACGGGATCGGGTTGGTCAACCTCCCCGAACGGGACTCTCTGCTCAGAGGCAGAGAGTTCGACCGTCAAGCCGAGAAGCTCGACTTGATTCGTCCCTCTCTCTTGAGAGGCTTAGTATCCATAGTGTTAGGAAGAGTTCATTCTGTAGTTATAGGTTCGACATTCCAACCACCTGAAGAAGGCCGGAGCGTACAACGGTACGAAACATTGTGATAAATATGGCAACAAAGATGAGGACTCTTTGGGTCCTGTCACTGGATCTAACCAACGCCTTTATCCACTGTGCCATGTGTCCTTTCGGAGTAGATCACTCGCTCTGGACCCCTAACCACGGAGCAAGACAGGTTGGTCACCCATCGACCACCTACACTGACCAGCTATGTTATGACACGGAATGCCTCCCTAATGACCTCCCGACCTTGATTGAGGACCATGATGGTTGGCGTGATAGATTCATGAATGTCCGAGCTAGCTCGACCGAATAATGAAATAAAAAATGTTCGTGTGTGTGTGCGTGTGTGTGTGTGTGTGTAGAGATGATAACACAAAGTGGAAAAAAACTATAAACGACGCGTTTCACCGAACGTCTGTCGTTTTCGGCTTCTTCAGCTCAGTATGAAAGACAAAACTATGTTTAAGGAAAAATGCGTTGGGATCAGTGAGGATACGAGGGGCTATAAATTAAATTATGAGAGACCAGAAAGTGTCGGTTTGCCTGCCGTTTGTTTGTTTGCTGTGTGTGTGTGTGTGTGTGTGTGTGTATATATATATATATATATATATATATGTGTGTGTGTCTGTGTGTGTATATATATATGTCTGTGTGTGTATATATATATATATATATATATGTGTGTGTGTGTGTGTGTGTGTGTGTGTGTGTGTGTGTGTGTGTGTGTGTGTGTGTGTAAGAGGCGTTTGTGTCTGTTGGATTTTATATCAGCCTACCGAAAACAGAGTGCCTTGCCTTATATATATATATATATATATATATATATATATATATATTGCACAGGATAACCTGTAACAGTTTTTTTGTGATAAACATTTTATTATTCTACCTCCCACCCATGTCTTCTGTATCGTGTGTGCCACTCTTATTGCTACTTACCCCCCACCCCGCCTCCCCCAGCCATATCACGTTAAAATGAGCGTATTTTGTTTTAGGGGTATCTGTTTATTAGAAATTTACAGAGATAACTGTACTATCCTGTCAACTATTATAAAATTTAATTACAAAAATGTTTTTATTCGTCATCTGGAGTGTTTAATCTATAATAATATGAAAAGAAGATGTTTTCAAATTATTATTTCTGGTCGCAGTGCCTACTATACATCTCTACCCTCATGATTGGTTAATAGATTGATCAATTTGTTTTTACGGCTTATCAACCTTTTGCAGGTTATTTAAAGCTACAAAATATTTTTAGATTATGGGATGTTTTGGGGAGATAATAATTATTTACTCATACAAGTCCTACTAATTAACACATAGCTTGGGGAAGAAGAAGCGTTTTCATACATTTCTCAATGATATTTGCTTTTAAGCGAATATAACGAACCCGACTGGAATTGGAACACGGCTCTCCTATTTCCAATTCTGCGCTGTTATCCATTGCGCCACCCGCACATCCAAGCCTACAGCACTTGATATTCCCATGCGGTTATCCATCGAAGTACTGGGCAGGCTCGACATTGCTTAACTTCGGTGATTGCACGAGAACCGGTATTTCAACGTGACATGGTCATAAGCCTACACTTAAATGAATTGTCGCTTTAAAGAGCAAAAGATCGAAAGTATGTTGTGAAAAAGGTTGTTTGTACCTTTAATACCGTTAATGATTAAAAGTAGTCGTCTGGTGAAAAATGCATTAACGGTAAATTCTACCAATTATTTTTATACCATCAAACTGTCAGCGTGATTTTAAAAGTGATTTGGGTGGGGTTTAGAAAGAAAAAAGAGAAAAATAAGAGGAAGAAACGGAAGAAAAAGAAATGGGAACCGTATCAGAATATATAAGGTTTAAACAACTAGTTATTGTAGTCAAATATCAGACGCAGTCGTGTCAGGCCGAACACAAAGCGACAGCTCAATTAACATGATAAATACGCATTAATAAATGACATCAGCAGAGTATATAGATGCAGTCAGGTGGTGATGATGATGATGATGATGATGATGATGATGATGATGATGATGACGACGACGACGTATGAATCGTTTCTTCTGTCCTTTGTATAACGGATGAAGAAAGAGGAAATGAAAAGAGGAAGCTGAGTGAGTAATGAACGCTGTGTTCAGTAGCCAGGAGAAAAGAAAAAAAAATGAAACGACCAAAAACATAAAACATTTACGGAAGGATGCCCTAACAAAAATGCCGGATTTGTTATATGGACATCAACGTTATTAAAATGTGTACATGTCATAGATAGAAAGAAAGAAAGAAAGAACGATAGATAGATAGATAGATAGATAGATAGATAGAAGAAAGAAAGAAAGAGATAGATAGATAGATAGATAGATAGATAGATAGATAGATAGATAGATAGATAGATAGATAGATAGTTAGATAGATAGATAGAAAAAAGAAAAAAAAGAAAAAGAAAGAATAAAATTTACGCAAATAATGCATTTTAATTCCACATTACTATAAAAGCTATTTTAATGACTACACGTATTTGAGAAGATAAATCATACTGAACAACGGTTCTTATATGATCACCAAAGTTAAGCAGTGTTGAGCTGGGTCAGTACTTAGATACGGGGCCGATTATGAACTCCATGTACTGTAAGCAAAAACCAGGTGCAAAACTAGTTTGACATGGGACTAGAAACTTCATTCCGTAAAACCTTATTTGCTATGGAAACAACAACAGCAACGTTTCGTGTTGTTGAGAGTTGTGGCCCCCATAATCCTCAGTGAAGTTTACTAGGGACTAAAGTAGGAGAAGGGGTATTTAGGCAACAAGGAATCTGTGATGAGCCATAGTCGGCTACGTACTGATGGGGCATGACATTAAAAAATTGATTAATAGAAATGTGGTTCTACAGAAGGATGCTGAGGATACCATGGATCGAATATGTGAACACCGACGAAGTTTTAGAGAAAATGGAAACAAAAAAGAAACTTACACTTAACATCAGTTGGAGTTTCTGGGGCACGTAATGAGGAAAGAGAGCTTGTAAAATCTGATACTCACAGGGCAAGAGGAGAAAAACAACGCATAACAGCCTTAGTAAACTTGAGCAAATGAATGGCGAAACAGGGTTTGAAAGAACTAGCAGAAAGACAAAGTTTATAAAGAGCTATAAGGGACAGGAAATTGTGGAGAGTCATGATCAGGGGTCACGGCACATCAAGAAGATAAAAATTGAAACGATAAATCAGAACAAAGAAGAAAAATAATCTAGTATCGAAAATCCTTGCGTATATATATATATATATATATATATATATATATATATATATATATATATATATATATATATATATATATATAATATTGGTAAATATACATACATATGCAAAATATATAAATACTGTTTTCTTTTTGCATTTGTAGGTCTGATGAATTGGATCGTGTTTACGATTCCAATGGAATAAATTATGACCATGGAATATTAGTGTTTAAGACTTTTTTTTATATATATATATATATATATATATATATATATATATATATATATATATATATATATATATATATAATTTTGTATTTGGGCAGCAATCTCTCTTTTATACAAATTTCATTAAAGACGAGTGCTTTCTTTTCTGAGTATAAAGTGTGTAAAACTGTCCAACAGCCGAATTTCAGAGTGTCACTGTGTCACACTTTTTCAAATAAAGGGACACAACTCTTGAACTTTCAATAGCTTATATTTCAGAAATTTTAGATTCCCAAGTTTTCATTACTGCGGTTGTTTTCGGCGATGTTTTACCTGATTTTTTGCGACGAACTATTTTGTACGATAACAAGTTGGAAATAAATCTTGGAATAATCGAAATTAATTGCAAAATCAGGTGAAATTCATCCATGAAATAAAGTAGTTGCTTGTACAGAAAGTAAGGACCTACGCACATCAAATTGTCTTTAAATTAAGAGCCGGGAGAAGTATTATTATTGAACTTTTAAAAAGTAAGTTTTAATATTAATGCAATATTTAAATGCAGCCATCAATTTTGAGTTCTTCTGTAGTTTATTGTTGCCTATCGCATCCGGCAGCAGTATGCCTCTAAGAAAGAAATTTCCGCCAACAGAGGACCAGATTGCAATCAAAAGAGCCAAGGCTGCAACAAGGAAAAGAAAATCCCGTGCAAATGAAAACCTAAATCAAATGGCAGCCAGGAGAGCTTCCAATGCTAAGAATATGCAAAGATTTTGAGACTCTCAAATACCTGAACAAGTTAAATGCCGCCTTATCGGGCAACATTTAAGTTAGTATAGAATATTTGAACAGTGTTTACACAGTTTTTGTCCAGAAAAGAAAATACTTGTACGAATGCAAGAATAATTGAGTAAAAAGCTTAATTATAGGACATTAACAGTAGTGATAAAGGAGAGCTTAGAAAATATGATACATACAAATAATGATAATTAATGATACTTTAATGTAACTTGTTTACAAGAGATTGCTGCCCAAATACACAATTATATATATATATATATATATGTGTGTGTGTGTGTGTGTGTGTGTGTGTGTGTGAATAAAAAGGACAAGAGGAAAACTATTCTTAGCCAACGCGTTTCGTCCTCTGATGGACTTTATCAAGCCAAATGGAACGATTTATTTCGTTGCACGTGTTTATATACAAAAGTAAGGATGTCGGGCTATTAAATTTGAGAACGTTCATCGATATTCATCAAGTGGTTGAAAGGTCGAAGTGCCATAATTCAAAATCTGCTAACACAAAAATGACCGAGTAATATTCAAGAATTTTTTTTTTTAATAAATGAATATTGTTTAAATTGTGATCAGATTGTCATGGTTTAAGATGGACGTTTGTGGTGTACATTTTCAAAGACAGTTGGTAATGGATTTAACCGTTCTCTTTTGATATTTTGACATTTTGTGGTGATGTATTTTGGCTAGGAAAAGTAGTAATTATTTCAGAAAAGGGTGATATATATATATATATATATATATATATATATATATATATATATATATATATATATATATATATATATACAGTACCTATGTTGTCTTTAGTTAAAAATGTATGTGTGTGCGTGAGTGTGTGTGTGAGTGTGCGCCGAGTTTCACATTGACATTTTTCTGCTGTCATATAATACATCTGTTATGGAGTTAGAGATTATAATGCAGTCATTATTTTCACTTTTGAGCTAAGAGGAGGGAGACACTATATTTAACGCCCACGACCTCCTACAATCTAAACAAACAACAGAGAAAACCCTCGTCCGGGCCTCTATTTCTCTTCGCATTTCACTCTCTCTTCCAACATTGCTTTCTTCGATTGTAACTGGACTTACGGCTATATCACGTTGAGACACCGGTTTCCATACGATCACCGAACTTAAGTAACGTCCAACCTGGTCAGTACCTAGATGAATGACTGCCGGGAAATAGCAGGTGCTGTAAGCTTGGATGTGCGGGTGGTGTAACGGATAATGGCCCCGAATGTTTAATCGGTGTGCCGAGATCCAATTACCGTTGTGTTCTTTATATTCACTTACCTACAAATACACCAGGGAAAGTCATGAATCCAACGCTTCCCCCTCTCCCGCCAGCTAGGTGTTAATTGATAAGACGTATCACTAGAATATTACTGTGTCAAAAAAATTATTAAAATTTTAAAATATTTTCTGTCTATAAATAACCTGCAAAGTGTTGATAAGCCGTAAAAAACAAAAAATCAATCAATCAAGATTTCAACTGAACAATCAAGGTTGAATAATTTGTTAACTGATCATAAGGAAATCTCTGAGGTTTAACCCCAGTAATGCGCAATGTAAAATCTGTTTTTGAATATAAAAAAAAATAATCAAATTGTGTATTAATTATAGTGTTAAATAATAGTCTATCAGACTATTATTTTTTTAGAGAATTGTACTTCTCCTCTGACTTCCTCATTTTGACCTTTGAGGTCAGATACAGAAAAATAAAGGAAGCCTTTTTGATTGGCTAAAGCGTTGGAATGAGAGGTATAGAAAGGTATTTCGGTGAGTTAAGAATCGTGTCTGGGAACATGCTCCCCAATGGGGGTGGGGGTAATAAAGCGACTTCCACTGGCTAGTTAGAAAACGTACACGTCGACGTATTTAATAAAATAGTTAAGTTAAAATTCCTTTGTTGAACTTCTCATTTATCTCCGAACAAAATAACTTGCGATTACCCGGCCGAGAGAAGAAAGAAAAGAGAAAGATGTGAGTGAATCAACACCGTCGCCCCAAAACCAACCCCCCAGCAAAGGGGTATGCAACATATGCTCAAATTGGCGCAGTGACCAAGTGAATCCCAGAAGGGGTTATACAACAATAGATCCCTCTCAGTCAGTTGTGCCATACACGATACCCGCTTGAGCGATCATGTCTCTTTCGATCCATCACTGACTAGGCAGAAGATTTTCCCGCAGTAGAATGTCATTTCTTTCCGCGGTAGACTAGTTGCCAACCAAGGCTATACGACACAGTCTGTCCTGCTATTCAACCCATAGGTGGGAGGGAGAAGAGAAAGAATCATACCTTCCACAAGGGCATGTGAGCGTAAGTGAACGTAATGAACCCGGC